CTTTCTCTGCGCTGGCTGTTGTCGCCCTGTTGATGACGTCAGCGACACGGTTTAATCGGGCGCGGCTTAGTCGAGCGCGGTTTTGATGGGTCACGAGGGGAAAGGGCACACAGTGAGACAGGCTGGACACAGATGGAGCCATCTATGCTCCCCCTCTCAGATGTGGCAGCCTTTCAGAGGCAAGCTGGAAGCTCCACAGCAGGAGGAGTCGGGGCAGATAGGATGGAGGTGCACACATGTGCCAATGCACCCAGGGCGAAGCACAGGTGGATCACAAATCGAGGGGCTCTGCCAAAGCCTCACCCAACTTCTGCAGACTCTGGAAACCATTGTAATCTGGAAGAGGTAGACCAAGATGCTCCCTGGCCTGGCTCAGTGGAAGAAGGGGGGGTCCAAAGCAATGTTCCGCTTCAAGGTTTTGTACATTACTCTGCTTTTATGACTGCTAGGAAGCCAAGGTTTCACATACTTTGGAGGAATCTGGCCGAGATCAACCAACCAAGAATTCAAGCTATGGATGGCTAGACTAGCTCTTGGCCAACCCTTCCTTGACTTTGCTTTGAAGAAGCCCAGATCAACCAGGTTCCCTTTTCAAGGGGTTCCCTTGGGCAGCAGGATCCCAAACACCATTCCCTTCTTCTAATGGCTGTGGCTGAATATCTGCAGGCCAAGGTTACTGGTGGGGCATGGGAGGCTTCCTTTGGGAACGCAGGACAGTCTGGCAGCCAGAAGGAGTGCTGCACTTTGTAACCAACCAGCTGGCCTTGAGGACGGGAAAGCTGCGCCCAGCAACCCCAGGCTGGGGGGAAATTGGGACTTTTTGATCATAGTTGGCTTCTGTCCCATGAAAGTGGGTGTAACCCTTCCCCAAAAGCTGCCTTCAAAATATAAGTAGAGGAAGAAAGGCAGAGAGAGACAAATGTAAAGTTTAAAAAGCCCTTAATATCCGGAGCCTCCTTTTTTTTGCACAAAAAAACAAAACAAAAGGAAAAGGAAAAAAAGTGGCAAATAAAAAGGAGCTGTTTAATTTTTTTTTCTTTAAAAAAAAACAGCACATGATACGCGGAAAATAAGAACTTACATAAATTATACAAATGAACTTGACACGGGTCATTCTTCTTTCCGAAGCAGATATGTACAGTCTGTTTTGTGTTTACTTTGTCTGTTCTGATAGTGTTAAGATGAAAGTTGACACAGTTTTTCTATACATTGCATTGATTTGAACTCTGAAATGGTACCCAAAGAAGCAACCCCCTCCCCAGGCGGCCTTTCCTGCCTTCTGGATTGAACTGAAAGGCCTCAAGGCTGCTGCCTGGGGGGTGGGCGGGCAAACCGAGAGGGCCCTTCCTCTGAGTTGGGGCCCAGGGGCACCTGAGCCTTGGCTGCCAGGAAACCTTAACCCCCGCAGCCCTCTGTGCAGCAGGAGGCACCCCAGCGAGGAGGCTCGGAGGAAGCCGCAGTCTGGCCTCAAGCCCAGCTAAGCGGGAGCTGTCTCTCAGTCAGACCCAAAGCGCTCAGCAGGGAGGAGCAAAACCACTGATTGGTTATCACAAATATTGATATGCTTGTTTGCAAGACAGGATTGCGGGCTAAAGGAATGTCATTTGCGGGATGCCGTTTCTCAGGAGCATTTACAACTTTGTGCTCGGGTGTACAGAGGAGAGCTGGGAGGGGGGGAAAGCTGGCTGGGGGTTCAGAGCCGCCAAAGGATAAACGCTGTTGTGCAAAAGGTCCCCGTAGGAGTTGCCCACAGGGGAGGCTGCCGCCAAGTGCCGGTAAAGCTGCTGAGAGCTGCCTGGGGAGGTGAGGAACTGTCTGTGCACCATGAAGGAGTGGAGCGCAAAGGGCTGCAGGGGGGAGAGGGCGGCCTGGTTTTTCAAGTACTGCAGGGGGTGAGAATAGCCGGTTGCAGGCATGCGGCTGCCCAGGCCGCTGCAAAGGGTCCCTGGGTACAAGTTTGTGAAGATGGGGCTGGAGAGGGGGAACTTGTGGCTCTCCAGTGCCCCGCCTGGGGGTGGCCCATGCACTGACTTGCTGCCCTCCACGTCCTGCTCTTTGGAAGGGGCTTCCTTTGGTAAGCGCAAGGGCGAGACTGCTCGGACCTTCTTCTCCAAAAGGCTTTTGTCCAGGTCCTCCAGGCTGCGCTTCAGAGGGCGAGCTGCCCCGATGCCCGGAGCCATGGCTTTGTGACTCAGGACCGGGTGTACCATCCCGTCCATCTTTCTCGAGGGTGGCAGCTTGCAGGCCCTCAGGAGGGGCTCCCCCTGTTTCTTTGGGGCGGAGACCGTCATTGGGGAGACCCGACAAGCCTTTGGATTGCCATCCACGCTCAGAGTCTGGCCAGTCAAGGAGTGGAACCGTGTGGCGCTTTTGCCCTCCTCTGCCCCCTTGGGCAAACCCCGCAAGAGAGGGGCTCCCAAGGTTTTGGTTGTCTGTTTGTGGCCCCCTTTGGGAAGACTCAGATCTGTGGGCTGATCGTCGGAGGAGGATTCCCGGGGGGCCCTGTTCTCTGGCTGGTGCAAAGGAGGGTGGTAGCTGAGCATTCGCCTGTCCTGAAGCTTATGGTGAGGGAACCCAGCAGCGTTTTCCCCGTACATGTCTCGGGGTAAGTACTTGGAGCAGGGCTGATTCCCCAGGTGCTCAGTACGCCTATAGAGGCTGTGGAGGGGAGGGGAGGCATAGAGGTCTGCCAAGAAACCTGGCATGTGTGAGTGGTGCAGGGCCCGCCTCTCATTCATTCGCTCCTTCATGTCCTGGATTTCTGACTTTAGCGCGTAGGATTCCGCCAGGGTACTCAGATGCTGCTTAGAAAAATCACAACAGTCAGAGTCTGGTTTCTTGAGCAGGGACTCGTGTCTGTAGGCATCGTGAGTGGGCCTCCTGTCCTCCGCAGTCTTGGGTTTAAAGCTCTGCACATGTTGGATGACTGATGGCCTGTTGACCGCTGCACTGTCCATTGAATGCCGGGGAGACAGCAGTCCCGGCCTGCCAGACAAGAGGTCGTCCTTGCTGCTGAACTTCTTCTTGCTGATCAGGGGTGGTGGGGAGCCATATGGGGGGTAGTTGCTGCAGGACAGGGCTGCCCCACTCACCTGGGAGAGGAGCTTCTTTTTCGCCAGGGGGGACATGATGCCTGGGTTGCCCTTGGAGTAGAGTAACGGGGTGGAGCCAAACCCGGGGTCCCCGTTGAAGGGACTCGGGAGGTCCTTCTCCTTGAACATGTCGAAGTTCTGCACCACCAGCACTTTGGGGCTCTGCTTCAGGGCGCTGTGGATGTCCTCGCTGCCCAACTGATCGACTTTCACTGTGCAGTTGGCAATGTAGTCCGCCATCTCTGGGATTTTATCATCTTCCATCTCGTTCTGACTTGGAAGGGGCAGCTGGAGGCCAGGGAAGCTGCTGAATGGAATTGCCTGGGCCTCCTCCTCTTCCTCCTCAAGGCTGTCTGCAAAGCATGACACCCCGCATAGCTCCTTCTTCGGCTCCTCCTGCAGCTCCTCCAGAGCCGGGCTTCTGATCATGGCTTCAGGGGAGACCAGAGATGTGTTGGCCAGAGGCTCCTCCTCTTCCAGGAAGGCCACTCTGGGGGGCACTGGAGACCCTTCGCCAGAGAGCTTCATGGCTTCTGCTGCAGTCAGGTCCGATAAGCTTTTCTGCAATGAGCCTTCCTGATTCTTCTCTTTGGCCGATGAACCCTAGGAAAAGATTTGGAGAGGAAACGGTGAGAAAATGCCACCAAGACAAGCATTTTATCTGCAGAGCAGGCCAAGTTTTCTCTCTGCACACAAAGCCCTTACACTGAAACCTGCATGATTTTCTAGTGGCTTTCACAAGAGTTTTCCACTTGGGGAAGAATTGGGACTCAGCCCCTCTCTTCTGTCCCACCATGAGGAGCAGCCGAAGCTACGTCCCTGATCTGCGCCTTCAGTGTTGCATGGAAACCTGGCAACCTTCATGGAAGCTCCCCCCACTCCATTAAGGGAGGGTCGCTGCTGCTGTGTTGATGGAGCAGCCCAAGGAGACAGGACACAATCCCAGCCAAATGGATTCCCTTAATCTGTGCTTTAGATTTAAGCTTTTGATGCTACCCAAGGCAGCCCTTTCTAAAAAGAAGGATCTCTCTTAGGGGGTCTGGAAGGGGGTCAGTGTGGACCGAGGGCAGAGCTGGAGAGAAACTAGGCCAAGAGATTGGAAAAGCTGCCCGGGAGAGGCACAGAAAGATCTCCTCCCCTTTCTGGGCAGGGCTGTCTCGGGCTTTCCCGATGGCGCGTGTTCCTTCAAACCAGGGGTGGGTTTCTGCAGGCATTACTGCCTGTTCAGTACATGCTACACACACGTGCGCAGTTGCCTATAAATAAGTCTGCGCATGTGCAGAACACTTTAAAAGGTCTAAAAAAGATGTCGCGGTGACCGGGGAAATGGTTCGGGGCGTGGCGAGCATGCTGTCCCTACTGGTTTGGAGACCCAGTTGCCTTTTCCATTACCAGTTCCACCGCACCGAACCGGCTGGAACCCACCTCTGCTTCAGACCCTTTTGCTAAGCAGCTCCCCCTTCCGTTTCCTCTCTCCATCCATTTACAGAGAGAGTGAACCTGAGGCCATTTCTTTTGCTTCGCCTGAGAAGCAGCTGCCTGGCAACCCTGCAAGATTTCATTTTCATTTCATTTCATTTATTATATTTATATGCCGCCCTTTTCCCCCGAAGGGGACTCAGGGCGGCTAAAAAATCAAATCAGACAAAAAATAAAAAATAAAAATGATACATAACAATACATAATTTAGAAACACACAACAGTCATACCATTCCAGACGGGGGCAACAGCTCTTTAGCCCCA